TTGCTAGGAGTCCGAAGAGCGCTTACAATGGCCCAGTAAAAGCAATTTTGATCTATATTTTTAATGTTTATACAAGCATTTTTCTTTATAATCGGTTCTGGTAGTCTAATATAAGATGAACCGTTTCCCAATTGATATTTACTGATATTAACAACTAAGGAAATAATTTTATTTAACGCAAATCCCGAATCTTTTTCAGCAAATTCCGATAATTCGTTTAAAAATTGATAGTAGAACACCGTCTGTTTGTTTGATGATCTTTTTAACCTTATTTGAAGACATTTGAAAAGACGACATTTTTTTTTCAAGCAAACACATTACTCAAAAATATATAAAAATGCTCACCCTGTCCTCCTCCTGTTCTCTGCTTTGTTAATTTTCCACTATTTTGAATGATGCTAGCGGTCGGCTTTTCCCTACGTCCACTTCCCCTTGGAAGATGATCGAGTATTTTCCGTGAAAAAGTTCGTCGATGACCGGATGGTACGTTTCCGTCACCCGCTGTGGTAGAAATAGCACTTCCGGTCCTAAATCTAGTAGCACGGCTTCCCCAAATTTCGACTTGACCACTTTAGCTGCTTGGATTGCAAATGGTGTCCCAACTGGTAGGTCCTTTAATTTTCTGATAGGTTTGCGGTCTACAATCGAAGACGCAGCATTAATTTTTGATAAATCCATCTATAAAAAAAATTGAGTCGTCTAACTATTTTGAAGCATAACACGAAAAAAAAAACAGTTGCATTTAGAGACATAAAAAAGAAAAATATTAAATAAAATAGCACTTACTTTTTTTAAAATTTTCGCTCTCTCGTCTCTCTCGAAGCACTAATTGTACTGCGGTCGTTGTTGCAGCTTGCAGCGTTGTGCGTTAAGTGTGAAACAATGATGACTATTGCATGCGCTCGCTCAATATAAGTACGTAGTAGAGATGACACACGCGTGCATGAGATAATTGTATCGTAAATATGCATATTATATGCATCATATTCTCAGTACCATTTTTATCGAGAAAACTGCATGCGCTCGCTCAATATAAGTACGTAGTTGAGATGACACACGCGTGCATGAGATAATTGTATCGTAAATATGCATATTATATGCATCATATTCTCAGTACCATTTTTATCGAGAAAACAACATTCATTGCGGTTGCAGTATTTTTTATATAATTTCTTAGTAATACATGAATGTATCGTTTGTCCGGCGGAAATTCCAATTACAAGTTGCACATGAGAGTAGAATTTTAGAAATATAGAAATTCGTGTATGATTATTGTATATTTGCTGCCTAATTTTTTTCAGTCAAGATTTTGATTGGGGGGTAAACGAATTTATATTTGCTATCTGAGATTTTTGACATCATTCTCTATCAAGATGTTGATGTGGGTAGACGTATTATTTTTTATTTCAACTTTCACATACGTGCTTTGCAACGATTTCTCCGAAAAAGACGCTATAGTATACCTAACTCAATATGAACATATCATCGATAATACAACAGATCTCTCTACTTTGCTAACTAACTTGCAAGAAAAGTATAATTTACCAGTGGATGGATTGTTGAATAATGCAACAATTGAATTTATGAATCGTCCGCGTTGTCAATACAGTGATGCTGAATTTAGAGCAAGTTTTCCATTTCGGAAACATGACCTGAAATGGTATTTCCCTCGAAACACACCTGCGGCCCAAAAAGATGCAGAAATGGCTTTTCAGATGTGGCAAAATGTTTCAAACTTAACATTTACAATGGTTACCAATCCCACTCTATATCCTCCTGATATTACTATAACCATGGTTAGCAAGACTCATTATTTTAGCGCAAACTGTATGGGTAATGATGAATGTCCATTGACATTAGATGATGCTGGCGGCGTTTTAGGACATGCATACTTTCCTGACTCTAGCGGCACCTGTAGAGAAATCCATTTAGATATAAATGAACGCTGGTATTTTGGAAATAATCCTAATATACCCAAAAATCAAACTAGTTTTCTTATGGTGTTGGTTCATGAAATTGGACATGCCCTCGGCATAGCACATAGTGCTTCTCCGAATGCTATTATGTTTGCCTTCTATCAGCATGAGATTCGTGGTCTAGATGTTGATGATATAAATGCAGTACAATATCTATATGGACTATATGGAAGAAAAAACAAATATGATTCAATCCCAACGTCTACCACCGCATCAGCAATACCAAAAACAACACCAACTATAAGATCTACAACTCGTAAGCAGCCGATCCTCAAAAATTTGTGTGATATTATTCCAGATTTTATGTTTTTAGCTATTGCTCCAGAGTTTTCAAATTACCGATTATATATTGCACATGATATGTTTATATGGAAACTAGACTTAAACGAAATGATTATCCCATCTCAGCCTGAACTTCTTGTCGATTATGTTCCTACAGAATTACGTCAATACACTTTACAACATATTTTCCAATCAACAAACGGTGACTTGATTACCATTGTGTCTCCAAACAAATATTTCTCAGCATCATTCCCTACCATTAAATTTCTTGATAATTTTTCAATTGATATACCCGATAGGGCTCGAATCAATGCTATTTTTCAATCAAACGCAGGACGGTCCTATACCTTTTATAATAATATGTCATATATAGAATTTTCTAACGATTTTACTGATGTGTTGAACAGAGGACGGATAAGAGACATATTTCCTGAATTACCTGAAGATATTTCTCTCGCATTTCGATGGATTGATGGCCATATTTACTTTTTCCGTCACCCAACTTACTATAAATTTAATAAATTTACAAGAAAAGTTGTTGCGACCGGACCATTTCATTGGACTCTATTTGGAGTACCATGCCCCAGCGAGGATTTGTTACATCAACTAAAAACTCTGTTATCTAAACTTGTATCTGTATATCATTAAAAAATACATTTTTCAGAAAGCTATGTTTATTTCGTATTCAGCCTGTTGTCAAACAAAAAAAAAACAGTCGGTTCCTTCGACTCCCCACCCCCCCACCATCATTCTACTACATAAAGTTTCATTTTGAACGGTATCATCCTGTATAATAATAACAGTACATCGTATACAGGTTATGAGACATTCTGACCGACCGACCGACCGACCAGAGGAGCCCACCACGCTATTTAGGTCACGCCTTGCTATATACGATTTAACGATATACCGTCGGTCCATCGATCCGCTATTTTTCGATGCACCCCTGTATACACGTTCTGAATGCCCCCCGTAATCCACGCCAACACCAGACAGGTGCGACATCGGCGCCATCTATGCGCGAGATGCCCAACCCATCAATGGCAGCTGTCCAATGACACATAGATTCCGTTTGGTTTGTACAGCGCCAAACAAATCGGCGCCATCTATGCGCGAGATGCCCAACCCATCAATGACAGGTGTCCAATGACGTATGACAGATGACGTGTAACGCCTATCTATGCGTGAGATGCCCAATGACGCATGACAGGTGTCCAATGACACACAGATTCCGTTTTGGTTTGACAGCGCCATCTAGCGGCGGAATCCCCAACTCATGATTACAGATTCCGTCCAACAACCTGTCAATGGCGCGCGACGCCAGCGCCTCTGGTGGCGGATTTTGGAAGTTTTGAGACCGAATCCCCATAAGACATCTACTGTTGCCTATTCAGATAACTAACAAAATGCCGCTTAGAAAGTTTCGAAGTTCAAAGTACTCCCGGAGAGAAAAAAAGCCAAATTTTCACAAAATCGTTATAATTTTTTCCTGGCTTCATTTGTACAGGATTTCAACATATATTGTGCATTAACACTGCCATTTTTTCTCTTTTACAAGATGACATAATTAGAATTTCAATATGACGTTTCGTCTCTTGTCCTCCAGCACGAACTTTATATTTGCTTAAGTACTTCATATTGGATTTTTACACAGGTGAATAGACCCTTTAATTCTGATTCCAAAACTGTACATGTCATACATTGACAATGAGAAACCTTAGTAATTTAAAATAAGGGAATTTCCTAGGCATTCCTTGAAATTATCAGATAGTCATTTGATCATATCCAGATTTATCACGAAATAATTTTTATTTTTTCCTGATTTTATTTAAGATGGCACTGTTAAATTTTGAATGCAAGGTATGTTTTTTCGACTTCCATTCTAAAGTTTGTTTTATCATATATATATATTGGAAGTTTGTACATTTAAGTAGAGTTTTCAGTCATATGTTCAGTTGGCCAAGAATTTGTTGTTGGAACGAAAATTATAAGGGAATAAAAAGGTATCGTCGATTTATGAGATATGACAAATCAAATCAAATCAAATTGGTATAGAGTTTGGAAGTTCGAGAAGAAGGGAAATAACCCGAGCAATCTACAAAATTACCGACAACGTTTTGGACATCTGCTATGATTTACCTCTGCATGTTTGTGATAATTGTTATTACCACCAATAAAATTTTCATCGTACCTTTTTATTCCCTTATCACTCGTTCCAACAACAAATTCATGGCCAACTAAGGCTGAATTTGGGACTGGAAAATGTATGTAAATGTAAATAAAATTCCAATATGGTATCCTTATGGACAACAAAGTTGGTGATGGAAGTCGAAAGAAGACACCTTGAATTCAAAATTTAACGATGCAATCTTGTAGAGGAGAAAAAGTGTCAATAGTAGCGAAAAATAAGAATATAAATGTGGTACATGAAACATATGTTGGTGTGCCCACTCCGCTTGTATAGATGTTTTAAGAGCGTTTTGCCAATGTTCTTACAGCATACAATGCTGTGTAAGGAATACTGTATAATCGTTTTTGCAACTCTAATAAGAGTGATAATCGTTAGTTGGAATATGACTATCTGATAATTTCAAAACCTGTTCTTTTGGAAGAACTAAGATAACATTTTTGGAATCAAAATTAAAAAGTCTATTTACCTGTGCAAATATCCAATATTATTACGACCATGTAATTGAAATCATTTCGGAATAAAACCACATTTTGAATCAATCGAACACTTACGTGAACTTGGGCGTACGCCTCTCGTTCAGGAAAGGCATTTTCTCTAGCTATGATGTCGACGACGAATCGATGCTGATTATTTTCAGTCAAATACGTAGCTGTGCATATTTCCCCTTTGTCACTAATGTTGAATGGTGAAGGGATTATATAACCTGCGCTACGGTCACTCCCAAATTTATATAGGTTCGAAGCCTGAAAACATCAAATAAAAAAATATGTAAAGAAAATTATACGAAAATTTCAGATTGATATATTTTTACGACTTCTTGTAATGTTTACAGAACACTGACTCAGGTCAGCTCATTTCATATGTTTAATCAAAACTCCCTGAGCATGTTACCCTTTCAGCATATGAGAGATCTCAGTGGATCTAATCACCTACTAGAAACAACATAAATGACAATAGGTTGAAATAAAAAAACCGTACCTTAATATAGTAAGTCAATGATCCATTCTGTCCTTTATCAGGATCCGTTGCTGTCACATTTGTGACGATATCATTGATGTTGGCCATCGCTGTGACTGCGGCGTAGTAAACAGGCTTCACGAATTTTGGCTCGTTATCGTTAAGATCCTGAATAGTTACCTATAAATTAGAATTAGTACAACAATGTCAATATTGTAACACTCTGTATAGTGCGGTAGGTCACAAACAGCCACGTGTCAGTTGTCAGTTTTGATACTTGTGGGTTCTGTCTCATGTGTTGCCAAATTGTAGGTTAGGTATATTGTCAGTTAGATGCAATGAACTGTCAACACTGATGGAACAGGCGTAACGTGAATTCATTGCGGCTAGAATGAGAAACGAGAGGATAGCGCTAGTCAGGGCAAAGCATTGGCAAAACATTGTGGTCCATTGTGGTATTTCCATATACATATGTTCTAAGGATTTTTGGTGAATGTTTATTTTTAGTGACGTTAAAGATTAATAGTGATAGTTTGCGACAATTATTATAAACATTTTTATGCCGGACAGCCTTCAAGAGCTGTTGTTTTATGTGATATTTGTTTAAAAATGGTTGAATCTTGCAGTGCGGTGAATTGTTGCAATAGACCCAGAAAAGATGTGAAAATGAAGTTTCACAGGTTGGTTTTAATCATCTCATTCATTTTTAGGTGAGAATTACCTGTTAATTGGTAATCCGAGAAAATATCTGGATTTTTATAGGATACCTACAGATCCTAACATGAGGAAGTTGTGGTTACATGCTATAAGAAGAGAAAACTTTACTCCCAGTACAAAAACGGTAATTTGTAAAAAGCGTTTCACTCCAGAGGATTATGAAGTTAGTGTTCATGGAAATAAGGTACTAAAAAAAGTGCCAGTTCCATCTGTGTTTGATTTTCCAGCCCATCTCAAGAAAGAACCTAGCCATCGAAGGGTTTTGAAAAGAATACATGAATACATAATTTCTAGAATGAACTATGGTAGAGTAAAAACCATCCTAGTTTGGTACACCTACGTCAAACGCAACAAAGAGAAAATATAGTGCGATGTCTGTTTAGTTGTTCTAAAGGCCGATTTACATTTCAATAAGTACAGTAGCGAGTTAAGTTGTTATTGTCATTTGAACGGCAAAAGCGAGTTAAGTTATAAGTTGTTAATTAAGTTGATTTGAATAGATCGTTATCCTATTTTTCGGCGAGTTCAGTGCGAAGTGCCCCCGCCCTCGCGTCTCCCGCACCCCCGCCAACTTAACTGGCTGACGTGTAGACGGCTGAGTTTAGTACAGTCCATAAGTTTGCGCACTGCGACCGCGCGCGACCACGTGTTATTATTTTGTCGTGTTAAAATGAAGTGGACTGATAATACTACCTTTGAATTTGTAGAAGAATACCTTAAACATGAGTGTTTATTTAATACAAAATGCAATAATTACCGCAATAAACTAGCTAGAGATGCGGCAATTATTAAAATTTGTGTGGTCATGAAAATAAGTGATTTCGGCCCGAAGGAGGCTATCTCTAAAATAAAAAGTATCAGATCGACATACAGCCAAGAACTTGTAAAAGTATTGACACTATTTCTCTTATTATAGCACGCACATTGGTATTAAATAATTCAACGTCCATTTTCTGGATTTCCCGTTTCGAAGGAGAAAAACAACCGAAGGCGCGACTAATCCTATACTTCGAACGGCAACTTATGACTACTTAACTCGCATAGGTTTGGACGCCACTTAATACTTATTACTTAATACTTAACTGACTGATTTCTTAACTCGCTACTGTACTTATTGAAATGTAAATCGGCCTTTAGATCGATGCGGAATAACTTCACAGGCGTGCACTGCTGTTTTGTATTAATATTGTCACGCAAATGAATGTCGAAATGAGCTGGCAACCCCGAGGTTCAAATATCATAATATTCAACCCTCTCGCAGTACTGCCTGAGCAATCGTTCGGTCAACATCCATAAGGATTTCGTCATTGAAAGCGTTGCCAGTTATTTTGTTCCCGAAAGATCGCCGGCGTTTTATCTGTTTGTTTTTTGGTATTAATTTGAAATTATTTGTGACTATTTATTTAAGATATTACTACGTGAGTGTGTGTGTGTGTGTGTGTGTGTGTGTGTGTGTTGCGTGTGCGTGTGCGTGTGCGTGGGTGTGTGTGTGTGGGTGTGTGTGTGTGTGTGTGTGTGTGTGTGTGTGTGTGTTTATATTGATAATATTGATATGGCACCTAAAAAACTTGGACGGGGTCGTGTTTTACACAGCCAAAGCTGTGAAATTGTGAACAATATTATTCAGTTCATGAAAAAAGAGGCTGAAGAAGGGATTAGCATTCCTTTGACAAATTACAGGTATGTTAATCAATAAGAATACACAATTCCAGTATTTTGAAAGCTTTCACAAAGTTTATTTTCATGATATGTACAGCGTGTCCCAAATCTATGTAATTATTATTTTCAACTTTTCTACCGAAAGTAAAGGTAGATGGTTAGAATTTTATTAATTTTTTTTGTAAATCATAATTAAGTAAAATTCCGTGTCGAGAATTAAATTAAAAATGATTTGTCTACGAAATAATCATATTAGATTTTTTAAATTTAATATAATATTTAGAAGGAAATTAATTTTAGGGATAGAGTATTGGCTGCTACTGGGGTATCAAAGAATACCTACCAGAGAATTTGCAAAGAATCTAAGAAAAAGGATTTACAAGGACCAAGTACCTCTTTTCAAAGCCCCAAAAAAAGGAAAAATATGAAGAAATGGAAATTGGATTCTTTCACACCTCACCAGATTAAAAGTATTAGAGAAATAATCTACAATTTTTACATGATGGAAAAAAATTACCGACATTAAAGGGTAAGCATTAAAATTGAAAGACTGTCTCTGGTACCTTAGCCACCCTTTTTCTCCATGTCAAGAGTTTCTGAACTATATTCTCTAAAATATACTCACCCGGTAGATTGCATAGAATCTTTGTCTATTAAAATGTCTGAAATAAGCTCTAATTTTATTTTAGGTATTAGACAAAAGATCCTCGATCGAGGTGTATTATCAGAAGACGTCGCTGAATTAAGCATAAGCACCCTGAGACGACTTTTGGAAAAAATTGGATTTAAGTGGCAAAAAATGCAAGATAAACGAAAAGTTTTATGCGAATCCTATGACATACGCGCTAAGCGTATAAAATTCTTAAAAAAAATATTGAGTTTCGTAAAGAAGGCCGCAACATCGTCTACACTGACGAAACCTATATTCATAGCAGCCATGTAAAGGATAAAGGGTGGTATGATGGTAGCGACAAAAATCTGAAAAAACCAATTTCCAAAGGACAACGCCTGAAAATCGTTCACGCTGGAGGCGAAAAAGGTATTGTCCAAAATGGATTACGTATCTTTAAATCAGGTAATTTAGTTTACTTAATCTATTTAGGAATATATTTTTAGAGTACATATATTTTTATTTTAGGAACGAAAACTGGTGACTATCACAACGAAATGAATTCAAAAAATTTTATGATATGGGTCGAGAGACAACTATTACCAAACTTACCCGAGAGGTCTGTTTTAGTTGTAGATAATGCATCGAACCATAACGTGCCTATAAAAAAAATATTACGACGGCTATTAGGAAAGCGGAAATGATTAATTGGTTGGAAACAAACGGAATTCCAGCAGACCCAAAATTAACCAAACCAGAGTTATATAAAATTATTTCTGAAAATAAATTTCGTTTTCCCATAAAATATAGGTTAGATGAGCTTTTAGAAAAAGATGGTCATTGTGTGCTCCGTTTACCTCCGTATCATCCCGAACTAAACCCCATTGAAAAAATATGGGCTTTGGTAAAGAATTGGGTTGCAGCGCGGAATACCACGTTTAGATTGCCTGATACTGAGGCGCTGGCCAGACAAAAATTTGAGGAGGTGACAGAACAAGAGTGGTTCAATATTTGCCAAAAAAGTATGAGAATGAACTCATAGAAAAAGAACACCTTTTAGATGAAGCAGTGGAAAATTTAGTGTTCACTGTTAATACAGGCTCATCTGAGGAGAGTAAAGAGGGTTGGGATGACGATGAGGCGGCATCAGAGGATGAACTAGGGTGTTCAATCCTTGAATCGGACAGCTCTGAACAAAATGACGATGTGATGTAAATAGGTAATTAACAAAAAAAAAACAATTTAAATCTGGTGTGCAACAAGGTATGTAATTATACAACAGTAAACAGATTTTTCTTATTATAACGATTTTATACTTGAATTCATCTGAAGATTTGTTTTTTTTCTCCTAAATTTTATCGAAAAATTCTCGAAAAACATTGTAATACGGTGTTTTTATAAAATTTCTATTCATTTTTTGTGATTTCTTTTACTTCACGGTCCCGTATGTTTGTTGGGGTAAGAAAAACTTAAAAACACATCTTTTCATTACACCGCTGTCAATTTTGTAATGCTTATAGACCTACAGTTTTTCATAAATTGTTACCTACCTAATAAAAACTATAATAAGAAAAATCCACATACCTACTGCATATTTACCAACTACAAATTCATATAAATAATACTAATAACAAATGCCATGCAAAATTTAAGAAATTATTGGAATCTGCCTGAATGTTATAAAAATATAACAATTAAATCTCACCAGCATGTATTTATAAAATCAACTACACCACTGGAATACCCCGAATAAACCCCGTTCTCTCTCTTGCTTGATGTGCGACATACGTCTCGCTGCAGCGCTGACGTAGGCTGTGACGTAGGTGTACCAAACTAGGTTGATTCTTACTCTATAACCTATATTGTATTATAATGAAAAACTGTGCATCTACAGTATTGTTAATGCCATTGTGCACAAATATTTTGTATACATATATATAAGGGTTTTTTCTTTGTATACTTTAATCTCTACAAAACTGTGTTCTCACTACATTTAAAATAATATAAATTTAAATGTGCATAAATACTATTTATAACATTATAAAGATATATAGAAAATAACATGTATTTATTGTGATATTTCTTAGAGCTCTTATTTTTTATATGTAAGATATAGCATATTAGAGTTAATTATAAGCAGACAATGTAATAATTACTAATTACTTATGTTAAATACTAATTTTTATATCTTCAAATGTGTAAAGGAGAATTTATTGTCAAGTTTCATACATATGTATATATATAAAAAAAAACTTGTTTTTTTAACTATAATTACGTTTCCAGGATTTTATCTCGTTCCAGTTGCCTAAATAACTTTTAAATCTTCTTTAAGAATCCTCGGTTTCCTATGCAATTCATTCAAGTCCGCGCGCTTACTGCCCTGACTAGCTCCATCTCTCTCTCGGACCTCTTTGTCGTATGTTGGCCGCATTATCATTTCATTGTACAAATGGGACGGGGCGATTCCATCAGTGTTTCCAGTTCATTGGTTAGATGTCAAATTGTAGGTTACGGTATTTTTTACAAGTATTGAAGTATTATCTAGTAATATTTCAAAACTCCATAATATATCAACAAGTGACGCATAATTAATTCTGAAGGATCCGTCGATGCCAGGTAGACAGATCCGTATTTTGTTGTGGTTTTTTGTACGCTGTAGATTCATTTTGAACTTGCTAAGAACTCTTTTATTAAAAAAAGTTCCTTTGGATATAAAGAACGCTATCTCTATTGTTCAGAACTTGAAACACCGTATGATTTTAAAGGGCAATGAAACAGCCATAGAATTAATTCAGAATGTGTCAGTATATGACCGATTTCATGAATTAGGTCTGAACATTACTCAGGTAATTCTAACAAGCTAGAAATGGGAGAGTGACGCAGGTAATTCTAACAAGTTAGAAATGGGAGAAAGGTTGATGTCATGAGCAAGACCAATTCCTTTTACATCAGTGGTGTTTTAAACAAGCTGTACTCATTCTTAATTTTTACCATAGGTTCTGCGCATACTTAACCTGTATTTGAATTACGTTACACTGAAGAAGGACAATTAACCAGAAACATGCATATATTATTTTTACAGCTAAAATTACAGCTACTGTAAAGGACAATGCAGCATGTTCAATTGACTTACCTCGTGATCAATAAATCCAAGATGTACTATAATAGTTTTCTATTTTTATATCTATACTTCGTAGATTTATTGTCAAAACTCTTAGGCACTTAGAAGTATAATCCAGATATGTGAACTGAACAACAGCTCTGAATACGGCCCTGAGCTGCATTATTGCCTTTTGTGATCAGCTGTTCACTTCAGCAGACGTCAAAACGTAATGGATACTCGTGAAAAGTACATTAGTTATGTTGTCAATTACTTGCCAGATAGATATCAGTTTAGTTTCGATATGTTACACCAAGTTTATAAAATTCTTGAGTTTTTTAGAAAGCGATTTACTTAAGTAAGATTTGTAAGTTTCTGAGCGAATAAAACATGAGAAGTATTTGATTCCAAGTGCAAGAAATGGGGGCCGTTCGTAACAATTGGTGTCAAGAAGTGGGATTTTCAGTATAAACCCACGGTCTTGGATCGGCAAGTGGTGAGAGGTTCGCCAGTTACCACCAGAGCGATAGCTTCTGATATGAGTGCTATGATACAACTGCTTCAAAAAATAAGTGCGAAGCAAGACCTAACCACCTGGTCACATCTAAGCAAGAGCAAGCCATAATGAACCTCCCAAGTTGTCAGTAACATGAAATAACGAACTTGAAGTCTGACCTGCAAGGCAGACAGAAACAAGCCATAGCGAGCTTCAAGTCAGACTTGAAAGACAGTCATCAACAAGCTAAAAAAGCAGTTGCCGACCTGAAATGCAGTCAAGAAGAAGCAGTTGCAGAACTAAGAAGCAGCCAGAATGACGCAGTAGCAGGGCTTAAAAAGAACCACCCTGAAGCGTCAAGAAGAGGTTGTAGCAGACTCTAAGAGCATACTTTAGCAGCACAGACAGTGCATAGTAGGTGAAGAAAAGAGAATAAGCTCAGTTGAAGAACACATAGAACAATTGCAACAGTCACAGCACGTTGAAAAGCGGCTATACCAAATAGAGAAGCACATAAGAGAAATCATCGACTAGAGACTACGAAATGATAGTGCAGGTGAACGTGATTCGACATCTTTGGTACCGATCCCAGTCGACAGGCATTGAAGCATGGTAACAAAATCGTTTCCATACCACGGCAAAACTTTCTGAGGTATATAACTACTTTAACCTCCATGCTATGGGATTCTGATTCAAGTATTTACGAAAATCTAGAGCACACAGACCTGTGAAACTGCAGCAAGCTTGCACCAGTCTTGAATCTACGCTTTGGAGGTACCCATTTGGACAACCTGTTTCACAGTCAGTTGAATAGCAAGATACAACTGCCGAGCGAAGAGTTAGCGACATTCGCTTATGAAGTTCAGAGCCTTGCGATAGTTCTAAGACTATACAGAATGCTCTGATTAAGGTACTAGAAATAGAATCTGCAAGTAAGTCCACAAAAGATCTTGAACTGAAGTTACTTACTTCGTGGCTAATAACAGGAAGCAAGCCCAGTGTTCAAGAATTATCAGATGTGGGACAAAGCAAACAAAATCGGACTCGGTAGAAGGAGCACGTCTACGATAACTGGGATGACCTACTTGAATACCTCGCTGTCAAAATCGACTTTCTGAAGCAGGTGGTGCGGTGGAAGCGTTCGCTCTTACTCAAGGGCTGACCTAGCTGGTCACAAGCCGTACTTTTTCCCCGCGTCCAGTCATATGCCAGTAGCCTGATGGATCTCTTTCAGACCACGCATCCTGTTCCTTACAGCACTGCTGTCCTGTCCCCCCTGAGTAACTCAGACCACGGTGCTGTCGAGGGGCTCTACCTTTCCTTCGAGAGGTTTGTTTCGCTGACGCGAAATTATCCACGTCGGGATGGAGGAATACATCCACAGCCAGCACGATATAAAAGTTAGGCACAGGGTAATGTCACAGCGCAATGGCAGTCGGTCTTGGACCCTGGCCCAGCAGATTGAGACGAACTTCCACCACTGATGAATGATTGTAACCGACTCAAAGGCTAAGGTGGAAGCGTTTGCCAAGATCTTTGCTGCCAACTCCACCAACGCCCAAGTGCCGTCGAATCAAAGAGTTCTCTACATTATGCGGGAAGTAACATTAAGGGATAAGACCGTAAGACGGGTGCTCTTTTCACTCGATATCAATAAAGCTTCTGATCTGGACTTGATTGAAAACCCATCCCAAAAAAAGGATCTAGGACCGACCCTTACAATTACAGACCTATAGCTCTGCTTTCTCTTATAAGTAAGGTGATGGAGAGGTGTATAAATCGCGAGCTTCTGGATTACGTTGAACGTCATGGCTTGATTAGCGACAGGCAGCATGGCTTCCGGCACCAGCGATCCACAGGGGACTTTCTAACTTACGTCACGCAATTTTGGAGTTAATCCATCCAATCTTATGGTGATGCTGTGGCACGCTGCCCTATTATGAAAGCTTCCATCCTATGGCCTCTCAGGCTCCGTCGTAATTGACGGGTTCTCCTCTTCATCCCACAACGTCAACGCGGGTGTTCCCCAGAGATCGGTCTTGGCTCCGAAACTATTCCTCTACATATCAACGACCTCCTTTCCTGTACGATCAACCCAATCCACAGTTTTGCTGATGACAGCACTCTATATGCAGGAATCCAGAGCGACAAGCCGATCTCTGCCGTTGAGCAATAAAAAAGAAGACTAGCAGTGACTCTGACGAAACATCTGGAGGTTATCGCTGCTTGGGGACGCAGCAATCTTGTACAATTTAATGCTTCCAAAACACAGTACTTCACCTTGACGAACAAAAAGCGTCCTAGCGCTCCTCCGGTTTCGATGGACGGGCGAGTTCTGCCAAAGAGCCGTTCATTTCGGCTGGTCAGAGTCCAAATCACCGAGGAGTTGATCTGGCAGCGGCTCCATGATACCGCCGCGCGATGTGCCTGCCAGACAGACCCGCCTGATTTCGGCCCCCCATCCATCCTAACCGTGTCGAACTTCGTACATCCTGAACTGACCGAAACAACTGCTCCTTTGTCCCGAGAGTGTCGAGATTGTGGAACAATCTAAATGAGGAAACTTTTCCCAGTTGTACTATCCTTAGGAAGTTCAAAAATCGAATTAACAAAATTTCTTTGGGATCCTCAAAGCAGCCGCGGTGTCCTAGCATTTAGGCTGTGGCTGCTTCGGTAATAAAAGTTTATTTTATTAGTTTATTATTAACAATAACTGAGCGATTCACATCGCAATACAGAAAGAATTTTCGCTCTGCTAAACGTGAGCATAACCAGAACGATTCACAACTTAAACACCTCTCTCTAGAGAAAAAAATGAACGCCCATGGCTTGTCACTTTGGTAGGCAGTGGCGGACAAATGAGCCAAAAGTATGGACAATTTTAGCAACAAACAATACAATGTAAACATATGGGTTTGGCTCCTTCTAACCTATTCGAATTCGTTGGCACAAAGGAATTCACTGAGAATAAAAGACAACATGTTATATCGCATTTGGGAGAGCGCCGATAAAAGGCAGGCAAAAGAAAAAATGGTGTTATCAAGACAGTCCAGGAGAGTGATAGCAGTACCAATGGTTATTTTGGCTTCAAAAAGATACTGGAGAAGGTTAAGGAGAAGTTTGGCTCGAGCATTTGCCGCAATTTCAGGAAAGAGCCTGTAAGAGGATTTCCATAGACATTTTAGCAGGACAATGTTATGTTATAGTGGAAGCTATGTTTTGAAGAATGGCACGGTTTCAATAAAACTGACCGAAGCATCATTAAGATATTATCATTATTCAAAAACCACGTTGAACATCGTGTCGGATGTAGATTTTTTTCGAGAGAAGAGTTTTTCATGAATTCACCTAATCTGATGATATGGGAAACATCTTGCAAGTTGTGGAGGGGTTAGCTTGAGTAAAAAAGTGTAAATTACCCTCAAACAGGGGACAAAGCACATACCTTGATCCTGGCGATGCTTCTATCATCTTCGTCAGCAGGAAAATGTTCAGGCGCAGGATGAAAGTTAGGATCATTGTTCGCGATAAGCAGCAGATCATATTCTTCTCTTTTCTCCCTATCGAAAGATTTGTTGGCGTATAGACCTCCATCGGTGCGATCAAGGAAGAAGGACCCATCTTCGTTGCCAGATAGGATGTAGTAGTACACTTTGGCGTGGTTACCTTCGTCGCGATCCAAAGCCTTAACTTTGCCTGTGGAATAAATATTACATTTCAAAATAAGATATAGTAAAGGCTCCTTAATACCCAGACTGATAGCAATCTCTCAACATTGGGGACGGAAACGGTAGGAGATACGAGGTCGGTTAAATGAGAGCCCAGTTGCTCATTTAGGTGACTTGGGAAATGGCACGCAGAAAGTGTCAGATCTCAGGAAAACTTCATTTTAGTTCTTTTTGTTTTTCCTGATTTTATTTGAGGTGGGATTTCAAAATAAATTGTACATATCTTGTCATCAATCATCAACTTTATTTTTTTCTCATGGACGCCATATTGGATACTCGCACATATGAATAGAATATTATATTCTGATTTTAAAATATATATGTCGTAAATTGACACAGCCACTGTGGCCAAACATTGGTTATTTAAAAAACCGATTTTTCTAAGCTGGCCTTGAAATTATCATTTGTTTCATAATATCATCAGTCAAGAATTCATTAAGTTCTTAAGAACTAGGCACAGGTGAATGGTCTCTACTCTTCCAATTTTAATGATGTGATATTATACATGGTGGCCAAATAAGAATGCGAGGTACTGTATCTGGGCACCTATCCATCGTAGAAGGTTGCGGCAAAAAAGTTCTTACTAAAACGGCCAAAAAAATACCTGATCTTTAAAGTTGAGGATAATGTGAATTTTTCCTGTTGGAAAATGTTTGCTATGTCTCTAAAAATAAAGTGGTACCTGTACCCTGTATCTTTGAAATGGCTGAGCCGATTTTAAAAAATTGGGCTAGTTGAATAGAGATATTCTTGGTCTACAAATGGAAATGGTTAATTTTCTCAAACAGGTTTCACGACAAAAAAGCAGACCGCTGGCAGGAGACCCGGAACCACCTACGGGAGTCTCCTTCCTATCATACATTAAAGGCATTACGGTTAGAATAGGAAGGTTGCTGCAGAAACACAACGTCAAGACCATCTACAAGCCGACAAATAAAATCCAGCAACTCTTAACATCAGTAAATTACCCCAGGGACCCCCTGAGCAGTGCCGGCATACACAGAATACCGTGTTCCTGTTGTAAAGTATACTTAGGCACCACTAAACGTAGATTTCAAACACGCATTAAGCAGCATGAAAGAAACTGTCGATTGGGACAAACTGATAAATCAGCGGTGGCCGAACACCCACTCCAAGACGGCCACAATGTTCTGTTCGACCAATCTGAAGTCTTATCAACATCCACCCACTACTCAGCCCGAATGTACAGAGAGAGAAGCAATTGAAATCTACAAACACAATGATAATTTCAGTAGAAAAGAAGAAGGCCTTGCTTTAAACAAAATGTGGTTCCCAATTCTAAAAAACATAGCACAAAAACCACGTCACTCAAGGGACCCAGAATACCCTCACCAGACAGCTCAGTCCTCAGTCCCCCGATCGCCTATAAAACCGCACGCCCATCCAGTTGACCGATCAGTTTCAGTCAAAGGGAACCAACCCGGCGTTCCCAGAGACTGAAACACATGAGGAGACGTTGTAGCAGACCGCAGGTCACGCACAACACATGGCCTACCGAGACGCTGATGAGTCGGGCCACGCGGAGGTTTAGGGTTTAGTGGGTATTAGGTGATCTCCTCAAGACCCTGGAGCCCCACACACGCCGTAGCTCGTGCTATGGTATGGTGCGTAAATGCATTCCCCCCTCGTTAAAAAAAAAAAAAGTTTCAGTCGACCCGCCAAGCCGAGCACTTCGCTCTCGCCGACAGCGCAACTAAAGCTACCGCTACCGCAGATGTAGCCGAAAGCTCTGGATCAAATCCAACCCGACCATGGCTCAACAGCCCGAAAAACCTAAATGACGGCATATTTTTTATTTAAAAAAAGACAATTAATAGAAGCAGCCAACAAAACAAATACCTAATCAAAACATAAATATATATATAACATAAATAATCCCCAAACTGTCAATAGTTTCGCATTACTTTGAGCAATTTTTGTGCTTAACAAATGCATGTTACGAACGATGAAGCTGTTTATATGCTTGCAGTTTATTTTTAATGTCTTCAGTATGTCGCAGTAGCAAAAAGAGTTTACTCGACTCGATATCCAAATCGGCCTCTGCGATGTGAGCGTTTTTCCCCGATTAGTGGCGAGCGACGGTTCAAAATATTTTGAAGGACCATAGGTAAGTTCTAATGGCCATCAAAATATAGAGATTTATTCAAATTTAACTTTTTTCAATTACTTTTAGAATGCACCCATATCATGTCGTTTTTCATCAGGCCTCGAAAGAGAAAGACTTTGATCAGAGGTGGAACTATTGCCACTGGATGTTAGGCATGATTCGCGAAAATAGATAATTTTTATTTCAAATTCTTTGGACCAATGAAGCCACCTTTAATATGACGGGCAAGTCAATCTGTCTTTTTTGACTTGATGGACAATCAATTACCGTTGTTGTTGGAAGATGTGCCACTAGAAACTCGGCAAAATTTGTTTTTGCAGTTGGATGATTGTCCAGCACATTTTGCTATTATTGTGCAAGTGCATATTAATGCAGTATTTCAACAGCGGTGGATTGGAAAAGGAAGTTACAGTGGCCTTCGCGATCACCAAATTAACGAAACTTCAGCTATTATAATATTTGTAGCCCAAGAATAGCTCTTTCCAACTAGCCTTAGTTTGTTAAAATCGGCTTAGCCGTTTCGAAGATACGGAAACCTTTGACCACCACTTTATTTTTACAGATACAGCAAAAATTGTTAAGCAAAAAAGGTACAGATTATCCTCAAATTTAAAGATAGGGTATTTTTTGTTAGGTTAATATGGCGGAATTCACAGAACATCACTTTTAGATTCAATATTGCATTACGCCCTCTAGCCATTTCACAATCTTGAAAATATTTCTAGGTTTTTCTCTTGACCATTTTAGTAATAACTGTTTTTACCGCAAGCCTCTACGATAGATAGGTTCCCAGATACAAAACCTCGCATTCTTATAGTCGGCCACCCTGTACAGATCATAACATGGATTGGTATTATAAAACTTCAAATATATAAAAAATGACGTCAAGTAGATTGACTCTATTCTTCCTCTTAAGGAAGAAAAAGGGATGAGCCAAGTCGTTTCAAAATGCGAGTCGAATCGTGAATAGGTAGGTTCACCTAGGTATGATGATTTGTGACCTCTGCTTATCAAACTATATACTCGTAAAGAAGCAAATCTATATATTTCTGTTTCCATGGCAGATGTATTGAAATATGTGTGACTTATTATATCAAGCAGGTACATAGTACCACTGAGATCAGCCGCTTTTTAATAATAAAAGGTCTTTCACCGCCACCAAATATGCAACAATTCGTTTACTGCATACAGCCTCCAACAGACAATTTTCATCCCCTCCAAATAATCTCTGAAAATGAGCAGGAATCTGTAAAATGCTGTAACCCTATGCTCCAGCGATTTTATTTCCGCTGCCTCTGAACCAATTTTCTGAATCCACGACTACCTAACCGATTGAAGTATTAAACTTGCGATAATATTCGAACTTCACTTTACAAGTTTTCTGTGGCTTAAATATATCGGCATCACACAAGTCCGTGTTTCTCATTTATGTCGGTTTGTCAGCCCGTGTTGCCTTAACTGTTAGGAGAAAATATCCTTAAATTTCTTTGAGATTGTTAGAGTATTCAAGTGGACTGTATAGCGGCTGGTTCAAGAATGAAATGTGGTTGTCGCCTACCTTTGATCCGGTATTCTGACTAATTCTGGTTCGTATTCCTGGCGTAGCGGTGATGCAGGAGCGTGAAGATTGCGGGTGTGGGAGCGGTTCTGACTCTATGCGGTTGCTGCGTATATGCGGTTTCTGACTATATGCGTTTACTGCCTAGACACGTGGTCTCACTGTATGCGGTTGCAGGTATATATGTTCTCACGGTATGCGGGTTGCGGTGTGTCTGCGTGGTCTCTCTGTGAGCTAGTATCTCTCATTCTTTTATTGTCCTAGCAGCGCACACGCGTGGGGTAGGTAAGCTACAACTCATACTGGCCTTAAAATAAAGCCAGCCCAAATATCCCTAAATTTATTAAATGGCAAAATTAAAAAAAACGTCCTAATCGAACCTCATCGGTCCAGTTTTTCGTTCGTCGCCTATGTGTTCTCTTTCACTGTCGTTTAAGAACAATTTCAGCAACAATCTCGCCGACTTACTAAGTAATGATTTTCCTCCTAATTGTTTATTGTTGCTATTTTTTCCAAAAATTAGCTCCGGAAGATGATGGCATAGACCATCGAAAGCTCGAGTTCAAGTTAAAAGGGCGTACTTATACAAAATTTTGCCTTCATCCCAAAAAAATTTAAGGATATATATATATATATATATATATATATATATATATATATATATATGTATATAAAGAGAATATGATCATGCGGAGAAAGGTACATAACAACAAGTAGGAAAATAATGGGCAAAATCCGCAAAAAGGAGGAAAGTGGATTCGAGCAGAAAATAGAATGATGAAGCCAACCAGCAGAAATACGTATCGCTCGGGTTACCTATCCTATTTTCTGCTCGAATCCACTTTCCTCTTTTTTGCGGATTTTGCCCATTATTTTCCTACTTGTTGTTATGTACCTTTCTCCGCATGATCATATTCTCTTTGTAGATCCTTTGGGCTTGAAGTACCACAGCAAGTGGCTATAACCGGCCGCGTGGTTGTGGTTAGACGTCTCCTTGAAAATTCGAGGTCGTATAGCCATTTTATACTACAATGTGTAGGTTGGCTCTTGTTGTGGACTTCGTGTGTCGTTTTTTTTTCCCTCCAACTTCGTTTCCTCAGGTTACACCCGTATCCGGATGTGCGGGCATGTGTACCTACTTTTGTAGTTGCATATGTGCATTCATTTCTGGCCTGATGAAGCCAACCAGCAGAAATACGTATCGCTCTGGTTATCTATCCTATTTTCTACTCGTATCCACTTTCCTTCTTTTTGCGGATTTTGCCCATTATTTTCCTACTTG